CTGTTTACGGCCAAAATATAACGGGCGAAAGAACTGTAAGACAGTGGCGTAGAATGTTCAAAGATGGAGGGGGGCGAACAGATGTTCACAATGAAGAACCAAGTGGTGATCTTGTTCAAAGTGATGTCCAAAAAATTTGTGAAAGACGGCGCTTCGCAATTTCAGAACATTCATGAGAATTTCTACAAAATTCACGCGTTGTTCTTTACGAGATTATTACAGTTAGGCTAGGCTATCAAAAGTTTTGCTCAAGATGGACTCCGAAAATGCTCATGGGGCCGCAAAAAATCGCAAAGAATATCTTCGGCGGTTGTCGTTTTTTGGAGCGATAACGCAAATATGGCTCTCTCATTCGTACATCGTACGAATAACAGGTGATCTAACCCGAGTTTCGTTCATGAATGTTGAAACGAAGAAGCAGTCAAAGCAGTGGAAGCGCACATTCACCAGGCAAGCCGAAAAAGTTGAAAGAATCGTTTGCCTGCTAGAAAGCTGATGACAACTGTTTTTCTGGGACAGGAAAGAGTGATGATTGTGGAATTCATGCAAAAAGGGACTGTACTAGTGTCAGAAATGTATTGCGAAACACTAAACAAATTACGTAGAGCCATTCAGAAGAGAAGGCGTGGAATGCTGACATCCGGTGTGGTGATTCTCCACGACAATTCACGTCCGCGTACAGCTGCTCGCACTCGAGCACTGCTGGAACGTTTCAACTGGGAGTTGTTTGACCATCATCCTTACAGCCTTGATCTCGTTCCACGACTACCACCTGTTTACCTACCTGAAGAACTGGTTGAGATCACAGCGCTTCAACAATAATGAGGATTTGGTGGAAGGGCTCAAATCGTGGCTGAGCTCACAGATGGGAGACTTGTTTGACATAGGGATACAAAAACTTATATTCAATTCTGGTGGTGACTACGTTGAGAAGTAGCATAAGTATGTACGTATTTTTCTGTAAAACAATTTTTGCTCGTTGCTTGTTTTGTTAACAGCTCATTGGAGCTTACTTTCCGAGTAGCCCTCGTAAGGGTATGTTAGCTTAAATCGAGGGTGTGAAGCTCCGTGCACATCTCCATCTGATATTCAGGTTAAGAAAGCTTTGGGCATTACCTCTTCGTCATTTGTACACCTTATGGTCTGCTACTTTGGTACGTGGGTAGTGCAACTTTACCCATAATGATGATAAGAGTGGGAAAATCATATCCCTGACCACTGAGAATAGTGCCAGCCCATGATGACAGCGAGAGTAGATAAATATGGGGAATCAATAGTAGTTCCAGTATTAATACTGATAGTAACAGTAGACGAAGTTATCGCCGAGCTTAGTTAATTAAGCGCCACACCATGAAGATGTATGGGGGAGTGCTCCACCCTTCTTAACTTTGGTACTATATGGAGTTGAGTGGTCAGCTGCACGACCCCGTCGTTTGACCCCAGAGGAAATAGCCCCTGGCACGCATTGTACAGGAGTCTGGGTGAATTTCAGAGCCGGTCTGGACTCTATGGAAAAGAAAAATTCTGCTAACCTAATGGATAATCGAACCCTGACTTCTCGGTCGTCCAGTCCTTGGCCTAGCCGCTATACCAGCTGAGCTTTCCCAGCTCCAGTAGTAGTACTGGCGGAAGTAGTAGTATTAACAATATTAGCAGTAGTAGTAGCAGTAGTAGAAGAGGTTGTGGTGGCGGTGACAGCGGTAGTCTAATTGCAGGAATTTCGAGTCTGTGTAAATATTTTGAACTTTTGGGCGCATTTCTGTCAGCTGTTAAAGCAGAAATATATTAAGTGTTAGTAAAGCCTACGGTCTAGAAGACCGAATATGTTTCTCAGAAGGGATAGGGATTCGTCCCTTCGTCTCGGCGTTCAAACTGACTGTGGGGCCTTCCCAGCATTTTAGTCAGCGTTTGCCGGGATTAAACAGTCGGAACTCTAAACTCATTACCCATTTCCATCTAGTGCCGAGGTACGTGGAGTTCTACCTGCATCCCTTTTACATATCTTCAGCCGTGATACTTAACCATAGGGTCTCTGTTTTCTTTGTACCTATACATGTTGAGTGCTTATTTATTTATTTATTTATTTATTTATTTGTGATCTATTTAACGTTGTTTTCAGTAGTTGAGATTATATAGCATCGAATGTTGAATGAGGAATAGGAAATGATCTGGAAGGAAGTAGCTGTAGCCTAATGCCGCTTACTATCACAGCATTCGTATGAATGGACTAAGATAGCCCCTGAAAATTTTCAGTCAGTATAGTCGGTGTCCTGGCTGAAATCGAACCGGCCACCTTCCGAACACAAGTCAGGAGCTTTACAACCTCAGCCAGTTTTCTCGGTACATGTGACTCTTCATATAATATGATTATAATGTGTACGAAAGAAATATAATTAAAAACATAATTTTCAAGAAAATAATCGTTTTGAGTTCCATTCATCAGGCAGAGTATGAGAAAGGGAGATGAAGTAACTGCAGTAACCGTTTAGTTAAATATGACATGTAATTATTTACTTCTTCATAATAATTATTATTGATATTTGTAGCATGAATACGAACATTTAGCGATAAAAAATATATATATACATACAAAGAAACAACGCGCTCCTACAGCTGCGATTTAAAGAAAAATGTATTTACAATTGTATAAAATGTCAGTGTCACTATAAATTTTGGATCGTCGTTTGAACGTTTTCTTGTCAACTTTGTCGGACATTCTGTGTTACAATTTTCGAATATCTTCCGTATGCTACAAAGATGGGTACAAATAGCATTTTTATTCTATTCCATAACTCCGATATTTATCGTGAACGTGTTTTTGAACCATCATGTGGCCCATGTCAGTAACTGGCGAACTTCCTGTTTCTAATGGCACGGTAAACGAATAAGAAACTTCTCCATTAGTTCTTTTCCTTTTTACTCGCGATTTAGAAGATAAAAGTCAGTCGAACATATTTTAAGCATCCTGTAATCAATGTTAGAATTATTAAAAATTCGTTAGTTTTCTCTGAATAATACTGGACAAAACATACTTTTATGTTCTATTTAATTTTTACTATTTAGAGCTGCAAAATGTCGGAGAAAAATTTGGATGTGTATCGAACTGGCAGTATTTTGTATTATTTTTAGATTTGGGGGAGCGCAACCTTATGGCATGCATAATGGAGTCGTGTTAATTTCGTTAGAAAGTGCCTTAAAAGCCCTACAGACAGACAGAATTATATAAAACTGTCCCCTTGTTTCAGTTTAAGGCGTAATACAAGGTGTTCACTATCCGGGAGAAAAATGAGGCTGCAACCTCGCTCGCGTCTGCAGGGAAAACTTTGCAACGAAGTTTCTAAAATATTCGCAAGGAATTCCATAAACGGGTTCAATAGATGAAAATTAGTATCCGTTGTTGTAGGTAATGAAGAGTAAAATTTATGGCAAATAATTTCTTGAGCAAAGAAGTTGGCCTGGTGGTAAACACATAGAAAATTAAGTATATGTTGATGTGTCGTCTCCAGAATGCAGGGCGAAATCATAAAATAAAGCAGGTAATAGATCCTTTGAAAATGTGGCAAAGTTAAGATATTTGGGAAAGACGGTAACAAATCCAGATCTGATTTTTTTTCCCCCTTGGCACTACAGCCCCAGTGGGCATAGGCATACCTCCATGAACTTCTCCGTTCGCCTATATCTGATCATTAAGGATATTAAGAGCAGATTCAGCTTGGGTAATGCTTGCTGCCATTCAGTTCAGAGCCCTTTTCTTCACACCTGCTGTCTAAAAACGTAAGAATTCAAATATGCAAAACTAAAATTTCGCCTCTACTTTTTTATTGGTATGAAACTTGGTCTCTGACATTATGGGCCTAATATAGACTGAAAGCATTTGAGAACAGGGTGTTGAGGAGAATATTTGAACCGAAGAATGATTATGTGGTAGGAGAAAACTGCATAATGAATAGCTTCTTAACTTATACCCTTCGCTAAGTATAATTAGGATGATTAAGTCAAGCACGAGTAGACGGGCAGGGAATGTAGCATTCGTGGGGGAGAAGAGGGATGCATATGGGATTTTGGTGAGAATGCCAGAAGTAAAGAGACCCTTAAGAAAACCAAGACGTTGAAGGGAAGTTAGTATTAAAATGGATCTTACAAACATAGTTTTGGCTGGTATGGACTGGATTGATATGGCCCAGGATAGAGAGCAGTGGAGGGCTCTTGTGAATACGGTAATGAACCTACGGGTTTCATAAAATATTGGGGGACCGGCGACTTCTCAAGAAGGACTCATCTCCGTTTGCTGAGCTACAGATGCGAAACGACGATTTGCTGGAGAGCAAATTTTCCTCACCAATTAAACATTGGTGAAATTATCTTAACATGACATTTCCAATCCGTTGGATAGGTCCAAAATCCAAAATTAGGATTTCATGTATTGTTATAGATGGATGGGTCTAGAAACTTCGGATTGTGGAGTCTGCGCAGTTATGTCGAGGGTCCCGGGGTTCACATGTATTCTGGTGGAAAAGCTATGTTCACAAGTGCCCCATTTTCCCATTGTTTCTCCGATCTACCTATCAATGGCTCTACACTTATTTGTTGGACTTTGGCCGTTTTTTTCAATTTCTTTATCTTATACACAATATTTAGGATTCCTTGGACAGGTGATCAGCTAGTCGCAAGGCCGATACCTACACCCAGAATAAACGCACACAGACATCGTTGCCTTCAGTGGGGTTCAAACCCACGACCCCAGTGCCCGGTCGAGCGGAGGGAGATCATGCCCTAGAACGCGAGGCCACGGTGATCGGCAATTACTGGAAATGCGATCCTTACAAGAACTCCCGTCTTGTAGTGATTTAATGCATCAGCGGTAAAAATTCTTGAATTCATCTGTTTTCTGTAATTAATGCGCTGGAGGTTAGGTGGCAGGGCGGTGCAGGTGCAGATGACGAAATGCGCCTGTGCAGCATTGCCAGGACTGGAGCCATTTACCAACGCAATCACTGCGGTATCAGTCTGTTTCCATTCACGAGCAGTACCGTTGTGTGGAGCAAGGGGACGTGAGGGGCGTTTTCCATGACTCGGTGACAGTAGCCTAGAACACCACGTGCAGTTTCCAGCGAAGTCGATGAAAAAGGTCGGATCTGCTCCGAAATTTGTTCAACCGGTTTGCTATTCTGTGAAGATAAAAGGAAAAAGTTTGTAAATATTTTCGACTTAGGAAAATGCACCCTGATCAGAAAGGTTCCGATGCTTTATCAGAGGTATCTGATGGAGGAACTGCTGGAACGAGTTTCTCTGGACAAGGGAGCAGCTACGGCGGAAGCAATGAGAACCTTCGGGATCTCGCCGCAACTTTGGGCCTGTCGGGAATCGACGAACTTTATGAAGAACGATTCCGTGTTGATAGACGAAAACTGGAACACATGATTTTAGGTATGAATTATTTTGAATAGTTTTATTGCGTCATCCTTCGTAGATGCAGATTCTTATTAGACTCTTCAATATAATCTCAAGACAAACGCTCAAGTAACAAACGTGTCCCATTAAATCTTTTTGAAAGGGAGTTGTATAGCTATTCTTCGTGTATAACCTTTGACCTTTGTCGAAATGCGACATCAGAGATGTCCAAATGGAATCCAAAATGAAAATATTTATGGAGTCATTTAGAAATTAATCGCAGTGTGTAGATCCCCTCATCGAGTGTGCGATTAGTTGCAGTAAGACGAGATGTTAAGTCCATTCAATACTCTTATTTAAAATATATGATCACCCATTAAACTAGTTAGGTTGGTTAAAATGTGTTTAAACGAAACGTATAGTAAAGTCCGTGTAGGTAAATTTCCTATCCAGAGTGGTCAAAAACAAGGAGATGCTTTATTGCCACTCCTTTTGGAACTTTGCTTTAGAATATGCCATTAGGAAGGTCCAGTGAAACCAGGTAGGACTGAAATCAAACGGGACACATCAGCTGTTGGCCTATGCCGATGATGTGAATCTACTGGGTGATAATATAGATACCATAAAGAAAAACACACAAACTTTAATTGACGCAAGTAAAGAGGTTGGTCTAGAAGTAAACACAAAGAAAACTAAGTATATCTTGCTGTCTCGTCATCAAAATGCATGCCAAAATCATGACATAAAGATAGGAAACAGAAGTTTTGAAAATGTGGCACAGTTCAGACTTTTGGGAACGACGATAACAACTCAAAACCTGATTGAGGAGGAAATTAAGAGGAGATTGAACTCGGGCAATGCTTGCTACCTTTCAGTCCAGAAGCTTTTGTCTTCTCGTCTGCTGTCCAAAAACATAAAAAATAGGAATACATGTATACAAAATAATAATTTTGCCGGTGGTTCTGTATGGGTGTGAAATTTGGTCTCCGACACTAAGGGAGGAACATAGACTGAGGGTGTTTGAGAACAGGGTGCTGAGGAGAATATTTTGACCGAAGAGGGATGAAATGACAGGAGGTTGGAGAAAACTGCATAATGAGGAGTTTCATAACTTGTACTCTTCTCCAAGTATAATTAGAATGATCAAGTGAAGGAGAATGAGGTGGGCAGGGCACGGAGCACGAAGGGGGGGAGAAAAGGAATGCATATAGGATATTGGTGGGAATGCCAGAAGGAAAGAGGCCACTGGGAAGACCAAGGTGTAGGTGGGTGGACAATATTAAAATGGATCGTAGAGAGATAGGATGGGATGGTATGGATTGGATTGATCTGGTTCAGGATAGGGACCAGTGGAGGGTTCTTGTGAACACGGTAATGAACCTTTGGGTTCCATAAAATGCTGGGAAATTCTTCAGTATTTGCAGATTTGACTTCTCCTCAATAAGGGCTCAGCTCCATGAGTAAGTTAATAAGATCGTCCAGTTAACGTTCAAATTTTCGGAATGATGGCGGACAGAACATAGTGCATTTGCCAATGTTTCTCTGTAACATGTATAGATTCCGTTGACACATGATCATATATTATTTTAGTATTACTGTATATGTAAGTGAATAAAATGAAGTGGGAGTCAGTAAAACATATGTAGGACCGCCATCAACCTCATTTAGGGACTTACATTGCGAGATAAATAAGTTGCTTATTTTCGCATACGAATTGTCGTCTCCATTATATTCTTGGCCGGAAGTGATTCGGTGATAACGTAGTTACAAGTTTGGTAGCCATTTTCTTGCTTCGCGTTTCTTTTGCATCGACCATTTTCGTTTGTGCAGATATGCTATTTGCTTTTTAAGATTAACATGAGCTTCACAGTTTTGATCAGCTGCCATGTTTTATTTGCGTCAGAGATTAAGATGTCTTGCGTAAAACAGATTTTCAGGATTCGTGTTGAGTTACTATTCTTGTACTCTTGAAGTACTATTAGCCTTTCTGTTCCTAGATATTCCATAAGACCTGAACCTGGACTAACAGAACCGTTGTTATTCCGGAATCCATATGCCGCCATAAGAAGGTTATGTATAATTGTTACCCATTTCTTTTCAATTCGACGAATAGGCTTTTAAATTGTTGTTGTAGCCATGGTCACAGTACTAACTTTCGACTTGCAACAGGAGTATGATTATAGGACAGGACATATTTTATATATATATATATATATATAGTGCTCGGCGTCGACACATTTCGAAGCAGATATTTTGTACTTGAGAGATGAATACATTTGTTCGCAGTAATTTAGGGTTCGTATGCCATGTTCCTAAATAAAACAAAAATATGTCATAAACGGAATTAGCGACGTCTGCGAGTTTTTCATTGCTATAATAAAACCCTGATAATATCAGTACAAAGCCAGAAGTGGGAGAATTTTTATGTCCTAATTTACATGTTGTTTAATATAATATCAAATTCTTCAGCTTCTCGACGGACATAAATATTGTCAGCTCCAAGTTTTATATTTTTTTAAAATTTTGCATTCAAATCTCCCAGAAACGAAACGAAACGAAACGAAACGATTGAAACTGTGTAAATGATAAATAATCGCGACGTGACGCATGGGACTGAGTGTTCACTACGCCGTACTGCAGTGCACATGCGAACCAGCACTTTGCTCTTATCGAACAATAATGTGTGAAATGATAGTAATAATGTAACTTTAAAATAAATTAGTGCTGTTGGAAAAATTAAGACTGCTTGGCGGCCTATATATTCTTTGTCGGAACAGCGGGACTTCTCTCGCCAAAACAGGACATCTGGTCGCTTTAGTTTAAACCATATGGCTGCGTCATTGAGTTGATGTGCTGAACACAGTATACGAGATAGCATTTTCCGGACACTCGTTGACGTCGTAATAGTTCTGCAATTAAAGTAATATATATAAGTAAAGTTGTCTCTGTGCTTGACTAATTAAACACTATACCATGAAGGCGTATGGGGGAGTCGATATATAGATCAATATTTTCCTAACCTCGACGCTAACTGGAGGTGAATGGTCAGCTTCACGCCCCGGCCGCTTTACCGTCGGGGAAAGAGCCCCCGGTAACTATTGGTAGGTGGTTAGGTGGACCCCAGAAGATGTTTGGACGACGTGGAGAAGAGAAAATTCATACCCCTACAAGGTCTCGAACTTAGACCCCTCGGTCGTGCAGCCCGTAGCTAGTCGCTATACCGACTACGCTATCTCGGCTACTTATATATTATATATAATAAGAGTCCTAACCGAACACCACAATCACCAGTTATACGTAACACAATAACGGAATGGAATGTCCAGTCAGAGAATGCATGAGCACATGTTAAGTTGGCAGGAGGGCGAATGATGACGTCGTGGTTCAAGGTGCAGGTGACAGAAACCTGTAATTGTTTGAAAAGTCGACGAAACATACAAGCTTCAGACATGGATTATATTGAGGGGATTCACAGTATGTCCTTCTGCCTCATTTTCTCAGGGCGAGAAAGTCAAGATTGATGAAATGGGTGGTAGAAGTAAGACTTCAGGTAGGAAAAAGGAATACATCTGAAACTGTAGTACGCAAGGCAAGAGAACGTGGACCAAACGGGATATCTAGACATAGATGAGAAAATTGTATTAAAATTTCCGTGGTGAAAGAGATTGTGAAGATATGAACTGGATTCTTGGTAGACGTAACGATCACTAACAGACGTTTCTAATGGAACTGGGGGCTCAGTAAACATACGAAATTTCCTTGAATTTGAGGAATAATATTTTCCTTGGTATATTTTCGTTGGTATTGATGTTCATTTACTGCCGATACAAATGTATTGATGCAAAAATAATAATGGCACAGATATCACGAATCATAATTCGTTTTGTCTTGCGTCACAATATAATCGTCGCTGTATAGTTCCGTTAGTGACAAGGTCGTTAAATAACCAACCTGAAAAAAAAAGTTTTAAACAAAACTGATAAAGTCTGTATTATGTTAACATATGTCAAAATCTGTAAGACGAGCGTTTTTTAGAAAATTGTGTAAGATACATTTGAGTTTCATATGCTAGAAAATTGCAGATCACATTGAATAAAATTTATATTCGCCCCACAGCATTTAGCGTAATCCGCAACGCAGTCTCTTGTCCGTTTACACTGCTTTAATTTTAAGAGCTTTTTTGGAATTACGCGGTTATCGTATTGGCACCGTTCCTTTAATTTTCGCTGACTTTTCCTCAAAATTACGCGGTTTGAATCAAGGATGTGTATAAAACCCGAAAAGCATTGTGGGATTGGCGAATAAAGTAGGTTTTGTTGAAGTGAATGTAGAGACATGTAGGAACCATTAAACTCGCGCAAAGAGGAACTTTCTATTGAGGATTTAATTCAAATCGAGGAGGAATATTACCACATCAAGGTGATGAGGGAACAGCTAAGTTTGAAATGTGCTTACGCTCACAAGCAAAAAGATTGGCGTAGGCAGTTCGCCCGGTTGAGGAATATCTTGCTATCCCAGAGGAAGATGGTCCTAACAGTAATCGGAGTTGAAAAATGACAAAATATTTTAGCAGCCATGCACTATTACAGTTAAATTATAAAAGAAATGAAAACGCAAACCTCTGAAGCACCATTGATTTTCTTATTTAAGGAAAATGGAAACACTGAATCACCTGAACCTCAGCTGTCTTCTTCAGGCACTTTGAAAACCAAACAGCTGCCCATAAATGAGGAGTCTTCAACTTCTTCTCCACTCTCGCTTCCATCAAACCAAGTGAACTCATTTCCCAGTCTCCCCCACCCCTCCAATATAACACCAGCAGGCTCTATAGACAGCATTATGTTATAATCAACAAAATTTCATCATCTCTACGGATAAGCTCATGCTTGGTCTGTTGCGTCCTCTTGAAGAATGTGTTGATCCCTCCATCTGAACCGTAGGCGCCTTACGTTTCATCGTCTTTTTTTGGGGGGGGGTTGTGTACTAGAATGTTCCTCAGAATTCGTCTGTCTTTTATTTGCAGAACGTGATATTTG